GGAAGTGGTGGAATATGACATACAGTGGGGTCATGGTAGTTTGAAGTGAGAAGTCAACTGCCGAATAATATGAGTATATGTTGTCCAGGATGTACCACGTGGAGGTAAGTCTATCGCACACCCCATGTTAGATGACATTGGGTTTGAAAATGAATGCGTGAACTTCAGATAGCGTGATATTTATTTATTGTATTCTAGGTAAACTGAATTCTCCACATTTTCATTAGGAATTTTATATCAATTGAATTTATTTTGCAATATTCAAATTCCACGTAGATGAGATTAATAGAAGCATTTCAAATGTGACTGCTTGTTAAGGGGACGTTTTGTCCGTCAGTGTCGTTTTTATATCCTTTACATTCCGTCGCGCATTAAAATATTAATTGGACAATCGAGTGTGTGTGATGTCTCATAGGGTAGATATGATTTTGAACCGCTTTCAAAGCTTTCTAAGTCCGCAAAACAGGTACTCGCTTGTAAGCAATCGACTTTCAAAGTAAATTACGTCTAATTGATAAAATGAATTTTAGGTCCTCCAAGAAAGCTAAACAGGACGAGGGGGAGGAAGAAGAATTTGCAATCGTCCAGAAACCTTCGGAAATTGTTTCTTTATCCGAAGAATCCGAACAATTCACAAAGAAACCGTCTAATCAGGAGCAACAGATCACCCGAATTCTTCTTGTTAGGAATGTTTCCTTCCAGGCCAATCAGGACGAATTGACGGAGTTTTTCAAGCCTATTGGTGGTTTACTTAAGGTCAGAATGCCGAAGAAGCCTTCAGGTGGTCATCGTGGCTTTGCCTTTGTTGAATTTGCATCAGAAGAACAGGCAAAGGTAATTGGAAATTTTGTCTCTACTTATATATTTTAAGTAGACAGTATTATGATACTTTAATTTTCAGAGTGCAATGGCAACGTTTGGAACGGATTCCCACTTCATGGGTCGTAGATTGAATATTGAATATGCAAAATCACTGTAATTACATACTACGTATTTCTTTGTACAGCTGATTAACTAAAATACATATTTTTATTTCTATTTATTGGAATTTATTAAAAACCTGAACTGTTATTGAAGCTTTTATTAGGGCACTAATTATTTGAGCCATTAAGTACAAGACTCCAAAGATTAAGCTGAATGGTACTAGGTTTAGAAATGAAACTATTTTAATGGTTGTTATTATTATAAAGAGAGGAAGAGCAGGGGATATTGAAGGGCCTGACTGCAGGAGGTGGTGAGAAGTGATGCGATTAGGTGTCATAAACGTAGACAAGCCAGGAGACAGGTGGGTTACATTTAAGACTGTAGAGAGAGGGAGAGAGAGAGAGTTGAAACACTTAAAGTACGTTTTGTATCCAGCTGATAGGAGGGGGGGGGGAGGAGATGGGGTAATGAGATTATGACTTGAAAAGGGTGGAGTTGTTATCGAAAGTTTACTTGGTTCTTCATACCAGTTTTGATAGGAGGGCAGAGAGATATACACATAAAGATAAGATCTTATTGACTGGTAGTGTTCTGACAATCACCAAACTGTCCGCAAACATTATCACCCAGACCCTGAAAGATTCAATCATAAACAACTCATTAAAATTTCATTTGGAAATAAAACTTTGTTAGTACTTCATGAAATTTGCATACTTGTTGTTTTGGATTGAAGCGACACCTGATTAAATTCTGGTTAGTAGCGACCATTTTTTGGAGCACATTTTATTTACGCAAAAAATGAGTAGCATTCGAAGAGAGGTGTTGGATAAAAACGAATAAGATGCGGCAAATGACAAGGTTGTTTTGAAGCAAAACCTAGCATTAAAACAATTGAATCGAGGGCTATTTTGCTAGACCGACACGCTTTAAAATGGCATTCATTGTTCTATTCCGACATTCTGGTACATTGATAGAACAGAAAGAAAATTATTTGAGGTAAAAGAATTAGGAAATTTAGTACATTGACTTCTGTGAGACCTGTATCAACTGCAAAGTGGACAAAACACGCGTTATGCAACTATCAGTATTGCGCGTTCATTTTGACTGTACGTCATTGACACAGGGCCTGACCACAGCGTGAAAATTGATTGTTGATTGACTGAAAGGTCATTTCGCTCACGACCGCACGTGATGACAAGGGGATAAGTAGCACGTATCTGGTTCAAGCATGTTTTAGTGGGCATGAGAGTCTTCGCTTCAGCCACGTTGACCCTACACGCCTGAGGAGGGTAAAACAAGGGTATTAATTTCTTCAAAAGTTCACCTTTTTGAGACATTGATTAACTATTAGTACATTTCATAAAGTTTATTTGCCTCTTTTTTCAAGCTTTAATAACTCAAACCTGTTGCTCAAACAATGATTTTCTATTAAGAAATTCACTTCACTTAGATTGTCCTCAAAGTGTGTTAAATTATTGGCTGCTTTGATTGGTCATTAAGCGCTACGATGGATTTTCAACTAGTGTCGGTGCGTATTTATCTGCGATCGCAGAATTAAAAAATCAATAATTTGGTGCACTAGAGATGAATTTTACGATATTCTCTCGAGTGCACTACGCTTTCGATCAATACTCTCTTATTTTTAAGGAATCTTTTTACCTAAACTATTCAAACGTATTTAGTTTGCCATAGTTCCACTGCAGTTGGGTGAACGTAGTAATGAGTATCGATTTTCAATCGTTAGTACATTCAAACGGATTTTCACAACTACTTAAGAAGAAGCTAGTCTACCGTTTATGCAAATTTATTTAGTCACTAAATCCTAAATTTCATTATCAGTTATAAATTTCAATGAGATTATTGAAGTTGGGTTTAATATAACCCCTCATGATTTTTAAAGTCGTTTAAAACAGCTAGAAAGCAAGGTCTGGCAAGGTCGAAATTGATCTTAAAATCTAAAATGATGCATTGGTAGGCGAGAGCACAATAGCTTTAAATTTTAAATAAAGTTCGAGTTTTGCTAATTTTTTTAATCTCAAATACTTTTTATCTCGTAGAAGAAAATGTAGACATTGGAGAAAGAGTGTGGCCCTTGAAGATTCATGCCTTAATTTACATCATGTAGAAACCCAAAAAACGTTGACTGACCTAATGATTGCCCCAACCATATTTAGCACCTTTGGATTTTGAGTATTATGCACTGGCCAATGGCTTAAATGATCCTCATTACCGCCGAAAATGAGAGTTCTTTTGCTTTGTCCACAGTTTCAATTCCAGACAAAACTATTTAATTTCCAGCATATTAATGGAAATCTCCTTTCGCAAAATGTTGGGGGTGGGGGGAGATTTCAAATCCCTATATTTATAACACTCGATTTCATTCACTTTGTAATTTTCTTGTTTCCCTGTCGTGAATCCCTTTCACATGCGCGGTGTTTTGATTGGCGTAATATTCTAAAGCACACTCCTTAAGAAAATTTTGGCCTCTTAAGGGATTTCAAAAATTTCAGGGGGCAAAAATTTTTTGTTTTCTAAGCTTATAAAATCGGTGGTTTTGCTAAAAAATTTAGGAAATAATCCATATTTGCTAATTTGGAATAAAATAAAACTTCCCATATGCAGAAATGATTTTAAATGGTGTCTATCTCATTCCTTTGCACCTTAAACTTACATTGTTGCTATTGTAATCATCATAGTACGAATAATATCACTGTAAGGAAGTCCCATCACGCATTTACCAAAAACCCACAGACGAAACTTGCATGTACATTATGCACTGGGCTAATTTCACTTAATTATGACAAAAGGTTTCTTTGTACTATCGTCATGAGACACTTACACCATTCCACATCGTCTTCTTCTTCACATAGTTAAGTAGCGCGGTTAGCCATCTCTAAAGATAGGATGTGGGGTGCGCGATAGACTTACCTCCACGTGGTACACCCTGGGCAACATATAATCATATGACAAAAAAGTCTATAAATCGGCAGTTGACTACTGACTTCAAACTACCATCACCCCACTGTATGCCATATTCAACCACTTTCACAGTATTCACCTTACCCTACTCTCTACCTCTGCGTCCATCTATCTCTTTACATCTGTGAATCACTCTTCTTACCCCCACCCCCTCTCGAATTTTTCTCGCTATGATGTTCCTCCCCTCTGTGAAGTCCAAAGTAAGCTAAATGGCTTATGATAACTATCAAAACGCCTTCCATTTGAAATGAATAAATAAATAAAAATATCAGATGTGCCCCAG